AGTGAGTCTCGCCATTCGTAGCACCATATTACAACTCTGGAAATGATGATGCATACAATGGACTCCGGACCAACATGACCGAGTTGCTAAAACAAGGTCAAACAACTTGTATACAACGAAAGGAGACTGCGACAACACAAAAGCCCGCACCATCATGGTCTTCATACCTTCGTTCATATGTTTGAACTCAAAAAATGCAAGGTTAGCAACGTAGTGAAGCATTCGTATGAATTTTATTCAAAGCATCAGTACAGGAGCAAGGTGGCCACTAGATCGATTAGAAAGCAGCAGAAAGATGGGCCTCATATGATGAAAGCACAAGGAAACGGAAGATTGGGGAGACCATTGACACCCTTGCGGTAAAAAATTTAATGTACAGGAGATTCGAAGAGGACAGAGTTGGCGATAGCTTTGCATATTGCTTAAGCAAACAAGGATACGGCAAATCCAGCAAAAAGAAGATGCCTGGATCAAGGAGCTATCGCTAACCAGAAGAAAAGGGATCTCAAGGAAGCAGCAATTAGCGACATTGGAAAATCAAAAGAAGACGTCTTTAGAGAATGTAATCAGCTTGAAGAAGCAACTACGACTTTGGAAGGCTGATGGTCACAGGAACGCGAGGACCAATAATAACAATCGTCGCAGGAGTTCACTCAGACGCAGAGTGTGCAAAACATGATCAAGGAGACAACTAATTATTGTAAAAGTTTCAAGTTAAGACCAAGTCAAGAAGGCCGTCCGGCTTTATCCATACAGTCCGGTCGGAGTTGCCGGCCTACTCACACCTGACTACATCAGAGCGACCAAGTTGGTCTTGAGGAAATGTCTCGTCTGTAGAGAGCTTTTATGCCTGAAAGGCGGTCCAACAAAGACCTTTTTCATATTGCCTACGCCAACTAAGCTATTGTCTTGCCGAATTGGCCTGTTTTAACCAATCAGAACACAAGGGCGACTCTCCTGGCAGGGCACTCTGAGGCCACAAGAGTGGTGCATTCATTGCACAGAGGCCGGCAGCTTCCGTCATACGGCCTCATTCTTGACGGTCGGCTCTGCAGAGCAAAATCGATTTTTCGCCCTGTTTGAATGGCGTTCTGCGCAGTTGGGCAGCCTGATGCCACGGCTGGCCTTACGTGCAGAGTGTATTCGTTTTGGCCTTGTTTCGGCTCACCGGGCTCATGCTCGTCAGTTCTGCGTGTGTGTGTTTAGAAGTTGGATTACGCAGAGGCGTATAGACAAGTGTACATTGGTGTGTTGGGTATGTGTATGTGTGCGCAAAACGATGCGCCCGGCGGGTGAATCGGTTCGGTTCACGATAGTCGGCCGGACGCGTCGGTTTGGTCCGGTTATTTGGCCGGCATGGGCACGCGCGCACGCGCGCACGCAAAAACGTACGTGCATGTGCATCTCGGCACTACTGTGTCATCACGCCAGCGTCAGCTGCTCAAGCTCACTTCGTCTCGTCTCGTTCGGCTGGCGGCGAGAGGCGCCACTTTTACGGGCCTCGATCGATCGAGGCCACTGGCGAGCACAGGCTCGTCTCGTCAAGTCGGACGGCCGCCGCGCGGCCTGTCTCGCGCAGACAGAGACAATTCGGCTCGTTGTCTCAGCGGCCCAGCGGCCCGCCTTTGCCGCGAGTCTGCTTAGGCCAGCCGGCCCCGCCCGAAAGCGG